TTGATTGGAAGACTCAATAGTGTTATGATGTCAATTCTTCCAAAATTGATCTATAGAGTAAATGTAATACCAATCAAATTCCTGTAGGGTGTGTGTGTAAGTTGACAAGATGATTGCAAAATTTGTATCAAAATGCACAGGTCTTTGAACAGTCAATACAATCTTGAAGAAAAACAAAGTTGGAGGATTTACACTACTAGATTTCAAGACTAACTATGAACCTATAATGATTAAGGCAGTGTGGTATTGATGAAAGGATTGACAAATAGACCAATGGAGCAGAATAGGGAGTCCAAAAATAGGCGCACACATATAGAGTCACTTGATTTACATCCAAGATTCCACTGTAATTAAGTGGAGGAAAGAGTAATCTTTATAATAAATGGTGTCAGAGTAATTCCATATTCACGTGGAAGAAAATGAACCTTGATCCCTATGTCACACCATACATAAAAATCAAATTGAGGTCTTGCATTCAAGTCTTTAACATATTTTGAGTTAATTTTTGTGTATGGTGTAAGATAGTGGTTTACTTTCATTCCTTTGCATGTGGCTGTCTAGTTTTCCCAGCACCATTTATTGAAGAGACTTTCCTTTCTCCATTGTATGTTTCTGGCTTCTTTGTTGAAAATTAGCTGTCCATAAATGTGTGGGTTTGTTTCTGGGCTTTCAACTCTGTCCCATTGATCTGTGTGTCTGTTTTTCAGCCAGGACCATGCTGTTTTGATTACTATAGCTTTGCAGTATATTTTGAAATCAGAGAGTGTGATTCCTACAGCTTTATTCTTTTTTCTCATGATTGCTTTGGTTATTTGGGATCTTTTGTTGTTCCATATAAAACTCCTAGAAGAAAACATAGGTAGTATGCTCTTTGCCATCAGTCTTAGAAGTATCTTTTTCAATATATCTCCTCAGGCAAGGGAAACCAAAGGAAAAATAAACAAATGGGACTACATCAAACTAAAAAGCTTCTGCACAGCAAAGGAAAACATCAACAAAACAAAAAGACAACCTACTTATTGGGAGAAGATATTTGCAAATCATATCTGATAAAGGGTTAATATCCAAAATATATAAATAACTCATAGAACTCAACAACAAAAAATCAAACAACCTGATTAACAAGTGGGCAGAGGGTATGAACAGACATTTTTCCAAAGAAGATATACAGATGGCCAACAGGCACACGAAAAGATGTTCATTATCACTAATTATTAGGAAAATGCAAATAAAAACCACAATGAGATATCGCCTCATGCCCATCAGAATGGCTATTATTAAAAAGACAAGAAATAACAAGTTTTGGATGGGCTGTGGAGAAAAGGAAACCCTCATACACTGCTGGAGGGAATGTAAACTGGTGGAGCCACTATGGAAAACAGTATGGAGGTTCCTCAAAAAATTAGTAATAGAACTACCATATGACCCAGCTATTCCATTTCTGGGTATTTATGTAAATAATGTGAAAACACTAATTTGAAAAGGTATATGCACCTCTATGTTCATTGAAGCATTATTCACAATAACCAAGACTTGGAAACAACCTAAGTGCACATCAATGCATGAATGGATAAAGAAGATGTGGTACATATATACAATGGAATACTACTCAGCCATAAAAAAGATGAAATCTTGCCATTTGTGACAACATGAATGGACTTTGAGGATAGTAGCCTAAGCAAAATAAGTCAGATACAGACAAATACCATATGGTTTCACTCATATGTGGAAGATAAACAAACAAACAAACACGTAGATACAGAGAACAGTCTGGTGGTTACCAGAGGGAAAGGAGAGTGGTGGGGAGGGCAAAAGGGGTGAAGAGGCACATTTTTATGGTGACAGATGGCAACTAGACTTCTGGTGGTGAACATGACGCAGCCTTTACAGAAGTTGAAACATAATCATGTATATCTGAAATGTATATAATGTTATAAACCAATGTTACCTCAATAAAATAAATAAATATTTAAAAAAATCAGCTTAAGATAGATCCTAGATCTAAATGCAAAGAATAAAACAATAGAACTTTTAGAACTATGGCTCATAGACCAAACCCGACCCACTACCTCCATTTGTAAATAGAGTTTTATTGAAACACAGCCAGCCCATTCATTTATATATTATTTTTGACTGCTTTCATGCTGCAATAGCAGAGTTGAGTAGTTATAACTGAGAGCGTATGGCCCACAAAGCCATATATATTCACTATTTGACTCTTTATAAAAAAGTTTGCAAAACTCTGTTCTAGAAGGAAATGTAGGAGAATGTCTTTGTGATTACGGATGGTAAAGGAAAAAAACCCATAAAATAAAACCATAAAAGATTAAATAAAACAATAAATTTGGCTTCATTAAATTAAGAGCATCTGTTTGCTAGGATATGTGTCCAGAGTATAACAAAAACTCTTAGAGGTCATTAAGAAAAAGTCAAATAATCTAGTTTAAAAATGAGCAAAAGATTTGAATGGACATTTCTCCAAAAAAGATGTACAAATTATTAATAATCACATGTAAAGAAGCTCAACATTATTAGTCATTAAGGAAATGGACATCAAAACCACAATAAGATACCCGCTTTGCATCCATTAGAATGGTTATAATCAAAGAGACAGACAATAACAAGTGTGGGCAAATGTGTGGAGAAATTGAAATCTTCATACATGGCTGGTGGGAATATAAACTTATGCATGCAGCTTCTTCTAAAAACAATTTAGCATTTCTTCAAAAAATTAAACAAGAGAGTTACCATGTGATCCTGCAAGGCTACTCCTAGATAGATACCCAAGAGTATAGAAAACATGTCCACACAAAAACTCATACACAGATGATCATAGCAGACTTATTCATAATAGTCAAAAAGTGTAAATCTCCCAAATGTTGATGGATGGATAAACAAAATGTGATATATTCACACAATGGAATACTATTCAGCCATAAAAAGGGAAGAAGTACTGATAGATAATACAACATGGATGAACCTTGAAAATGTTATGCTAACTTAAGGAAGCCAGACACAAAAGGCCACATATTGTGTGATTCCATTTATATGAAATGTCCAGAATAGGCAAAGCCATAGAGACAGAACGTAGTATATTAATGGTTGCCAAAGGTTGAGGGGCAGAGGGAATGAGGAGTGACTGCTAATGAGTGTGAAGTTTCTTTTTGCAGTGATGAGAATGTTCTCATAGTGACCCTCGTAGATAAGTGTTTAAAATTAAAAAGACATAATACCAAGTGTTGACACGCATGCAGAACAACTGGAGCTGTCATACATTGGTGGTGGAATTGTAATTTTATGCAGCCACTCGAATAAATTTAGTTGATACTGTTTGGCATCTTCTTAAAATAGGCTAAATATTTTATAATAGGCTTATATCAGGATAAGCTAAATATATGCTTATCCTATGACAAAGAAATTCTACTCCTATGTATATAACCAAGAGAAATGAGTACATATGTCCACACAAAGACTCATAAAATAATGATCATAGTAGTTTTACTTATAGTAACTAAAAATAGAAATGACCCAAATGTCAGTCAACAGGAGAATAGATAAACAAGTTGTGCTAATATCATACAGTGAAATAGTGCAGAGAAATAAAAAAGAAAAAACTACTGAAACTTACACAACATGGATGAATCAGAGAAGCATTACGTTGACTGTAAGAAGACAGATACAAAAAAGTACGTACTGTATGATTCTGTTTATATTAAGTACGAGAATAGACAAAACTAATCTATGATCCTGTAAACTAACAGTGGTTGCCAATGGTGGAGCGGTGGAAATTGAATAGAATGGTGCGTGAGGAAACTTTGTGGAGTGCTGGACAAATTCTGTATTGTGATGTAGGTGGTGGATACAGAGGTATATACAAATGGAAAAATTCATTGAGTCTTACACTTAATGTTTGTCCATGCTACACATCTCATAGCATGCATTTAATATCTCAATTGTGAAAGTAAAAACGAAAGAAAGAAAGAGTAGGGAAATTGTAACCCCTTCCAACTATGAAAAACAAAGCTGATATTTTGCCAAGTAAAGACGTCAAAGATTGATATTAACACGTATGTTTACCATTTTATAAAATAAACATCTTAACACAAAAACATAAGGATGATACAATATCAGAATAGAAAATAATCCTTTATGTAGAGTAAATCTAGCTTTATAGGAAAATTACTACCTTGTCCTTATTTTTATACAATTTATTTGATAAAAGCGAAAACCTTGTTCTGGATTAGCAGCAGTTGAGGAGTGATATCTTGGTGTTATTGTTCTAATTGTATCTAGGCCTTTGATCTTTGACTCCTTCAACTTAAACAAAGTAATTTTGTTTCCTCAAATTATCATTTATGGTCCTGCTTAAAACCTTTCAATGGTCCCCCATTGTGTAAGGTGGTGGTTTTCCACTGGCTGCAGATTAGAGTAACCAGGTAGCTTTTACAAGTTACCTTCTTTACTCATCATAGGTCAATAGAGTAGAATCTTGGGAGGGTGGTGTTGGGGCGCTGGCACTTGTAACTTTTCTTAGCTTACTGTAGTGCACACCAAGAGGGGTCACTGACCTACAGTTTAATGTTTTAACGTCTTAGTAGGGCTATGCTCAACTATTTAATATCTGAACGGGCCATGTTCCTCCACGCTATGGTGCTCTTTTATCTTTTTGTGAGAGATGTAGGGGGGAAAAATAATTTTCCCTCTACCCTTCTGAGTTCTTAGCTGAGACCCCTGTAATAAAAGACAGATTAACAAGAGAAAAACAAACAGGAGTTTATTAACATGCATACCTCACATATACGTGAGACCTGGAGGTGGCCTAAGGCACCAGTTTAAACACTGTCTCCAGCTAAAGACAAAAGAAAGGTGAGGAGGAGGGGAAGGAGGCCAGTTATGGAAGGTTACCAGAAAAAGCAAGGTAAACAGGAGTAAGGTTTGTTACACGGATTTAAATTGGAGCCTTCTCCATTGATAAAATTCTCTTGTGATTTAGAGTCATCTTCTTCCTATTACAGAGAGGGACACACCCTTATAAATAGAGATTTCCTTTACAACTGTAAATTTCCCTTTCAAAATGGTAACTTATACTCTGTTTTCAGGGCTTCTCCTGTGTCTGCTGTTTCTCAAAATAATCAGCTCAAAATAATCCTTATGCCAGAGAGGCATATTTTGGGGTGGCATATTCTGCTATCCTTCATATATTCCTCTTCTTGCAAGACTCAGTTTAAGTGTGTCCTCTTTGTGAAGCATCATCTTATTTCCCCCGCTCCTAGTAGAGTTAGATCTTTCATAGCCACTTAGAGCACCTATCACTTACTATCATAGTTATAGCATGTAGAGGAGGAAGAACTATTCTTCTAACTTTCCAGGTTCTTCTGGCTGGTCTAAGAATTAAATTGATGTGAGACAGAGTAATAAGAGAAAATCAAGAAAAGTTTAATAACATGTATACATGAGAGAAACCCAGGAAAATTGAGTAACTTGCCGAAATGGCTGAAGCCACCACCTTAAATACCATCTTGAGCTAACAACAAAGGAGGATGTTGGGAGTAGTGGTTTGAGACTTCAAAGGCGAAGAGGGCAATTCACAGGCAGATGGAGAAGCAAATGTTTGGTAAACAAATGTTTGCCATTCCTTGCTGAGAAAATGGGACATGGAGAGGAGTTTGATCAAATGGGCCTTGCTAGGTTCTTCCCTGTCGACCACACCAAGTTCATATTATACTATAGTTATCTATAGGGATAGCTCCTTCCTGGAACAGGCCTTCTATCTTAAATTCTTTTAGGCAGTTAGGGAGAAGGTCAAAGTTTCTTCCTGAGTCTTCTGTTCTTAAAAATAATCAAGCCAAAGAGACACATTTTGAGGTGGCAAATTCTGATCCCCTACAACCAGAGCAAGAGCTTCATAAGGCAAGTCCTCTACCTTATTTATAGTTTTATCTCTAGTAGAGTATAGAATCCAATAAAACTTGAATGAAAGAATAAATTAATGTCTTACTTTGTGAGTTTGCAGAAACAGATCGCCTGATTGTCCCCACCTAATTTAACAGAATATGCCATCTTCTCAAAGTAAATAACTCATATAGTAAGAAAAAGTGTGAAAAAATGCAAATATAGGAATCAACATGGGTTACAAATTTCAAGCAAAGTAAAGTGCAAAGGAACATGTATAGAAAAATCTTTCAAAAATATTATACACAATTGTGTGAAAACTACAAGCAACAAACATGGTATTCTTGGTCAAAAGTGAAGAAAGCAAAAACATTTACTGAATACATCAAAAGTGTTATGTTGACACCAAAGAGAGCTTCTTAGATAAAACCGACTCCTGTGTGAGGGGAACTTGCAGGAAGATAATTCTGACAATTTGACATTCCTTGAGCACAAATTCTGGGCATCACTTTTGAACAAAAATTGTGTAAAAATTGAAGGGCAAAAATCAGACATCATTTCTTTGTACAATTTCACCATTTTCCCCACTGCAAGATGGATTGCAACAAAAGGAGATGAGGTAAGTCGGCAGTCTATTTCGGATGAAAAATGGGCACGCTGCTTGCTCTGCGTTCAACAACTCAGGATTCTTTACTGGTTTGTAGAATGATTATGAGCACCAACATAATCAAATCCAGCAGAAAGTAATCCTAATAGAGTTTGTGGAAGGGAAGATCTTAACAAATATTTACCATACAATGTTGTCATTTGGTAGAAAACAACCAGAATCCTTTCACTCATTTGAATCTGGCACTGACTTTTCAAGATAGAGACAAGTGCAACTTTACCACCCTCCTTTTGCAGTATTGCATTCATTAAATGAATTCTCTAAACCCACAGAACTCTAGCACTGGATTTTTTGAAAATTCTTAATAGATACGGGGTTGCTAAATTTCCTTACTCAAATCATGTGAGGAAATGCTTTCTGCTTTGTTGTCACTGAAGGGGAGCAGATTTTGTCACCCCAAAATATGCCTCTTTGGTGTATTGATGATTGTAAGCTGGTTATTTAAAAACAAAACAAAACAACAGCAGACATGAAAGAAGCTCTGAAAACTGAGTAGAAGTTACTCCTTTGTAAGAAACATTTACATTTATTAAGGGAAATCTCCATTTGTAAGGCTGTCTCCGTCTCTGTACCGGGAAGAGAAGGATGACTCTAAATTACTCTAGAAACTCTTATCAATGGAGAAGGCAACAATTTAAAACTGCATAACAACCTTTCCCTTCTTTACTGTACTTTTCCTGGTCACCTCCCATAAATGACTCCCCATCCCCAACATGTTTTTTTGTTTTTAGCTGAAGATGATATTTAGGATGAGTGCTTCAGCATTTCGGAGGGTAACTTCGTTTTCCTGGGTCTCTCCCATGTATATGAGAGGTACACGTGTTTTTAAACTTCTGTTTGTTTTTCTCCTGTTAATATGTTTTATATCAATTTAATTGTTAGACCAGCCAAAGAACCTAGAAGGTAAAAAGGGAAAAATTTTCTGACCCTGCATCACTGTCAGAGCTTTAAGAAAACTTGCGAGAGGATTTAGTACCCTGCTTTGAAGCTTTGACACAAACTTGGGGGACTGTGGGGATTACTGCTATTGCTGATGGCAAGACTAGAAATGTACCGTATTTTTCTACTTGTCCTCACACTGCCTCTCTGGTAAAATCTCTCTGGCTTATCTTTTGATTCTGCCTCTTCTGTTTCATTTTTTCGCCCTCATTGTTCCTGGATATCGGCGCTTCCTAGGCTCTCTGAGACCTACTCTACTTTGGGAAAAACAAAGAACAAAGTGAATTGTTTATTAATCTGTAGTGCTTTCACAATCACAACTCCAGCTTCTCAGGTTTATTGGGCACCATATAGCCACTGTGCTATTTTGATGAGAGGTATTTGGGTATGCTGGCTTGACCCAGAATATTATTGCCACGACTCTGACAAGGATTCATATTGCACAATACCTCCTTGTCATTTCCAAAGCAACTCTGGCCATATAGGGGTGAGGACTGCAAGATTAGGAGGATTTTTTTTCTGGAAACTTGACCACATGCTTTTCAGTCTATGGCCTCTCTGAGACAGCATGGATCAGCACCTTGACACAACTCATTCTTTTCTTCAGCATTTACTTCAAATTCTTCCAGTGGCAATTCTTAGTCATTCTTTGTTATTTAGTTTTCCACAGTTTCAAATTCAGTTATTGAAGAAAGGCACTACTCAAACACTGTTTTGTGTATTAAAAGTTTCACTCATTTTTAAAATGTTTGAATACCCTTTTCTTAAATGCCAAAAAAGAAATGATTATAGAGAATTGTGTAGCGTTTTGTCACCGTATCAACTGATGAAATCAGTCCTTTGGTTTGTTATTTTAAGGAAATGCTTTATGTGAGGTATTGCTTCTTTGAGCCAAAACATTATTTTTATTCTTGAATCTTGATAGTACGATGTTGTGAACTCTTCCTGGGGTTTTGGGAAGTGCTGAGTATAAGGTTGCAAAGTTGCAGAATATGAAAAAATAAGTGTATATGTGTTACCTTTCCACAGTTTGCAAACTGGCACCTACTAATTGTATTTTTTGCCCATAAATGGGTTATTTTCTTATTATATTAGTCTTGAAGCTCTTAGATCTTAGTATTATAGAAGGTAATATGTGTCAATATATTCATCCCAGAGGAAAAAAATAATCCATATACAATGATTCTTTCCAACGTTGCTGACATACTATTCTTTAACTTTTCCTCAGTTTTGGATTCTGATGATGCCAATCTATCCCTCTACAGCTCCAAGGAGAACAGTACTTTCTTAAATGGGGTCAAGATAGAAATGAGTTCTCTAGAATCTCAGATTGCATAAGTGTGAAGGTTTTCAGGCAGTTAAATGACACTTTGCACCATTTTTAATACTGGCATGCAACAAATGAAAAAGATTACCTAGAGAAATTCTTTCACTTGACCTCATTAATACCTATTCTCCATTTAAACTCTTCTGAGGTATTGGTCATGTGAAGTATGACTTGAATTACCAAGATCTTTGCTTATAATTTACAGGATGTTTCAACTGTAACCTATCTTTCAGATGAACTTGAGCAGTGGTGCTAAAGCATTGGAAGGTGTATACTGAGTCAAATACCATCATAGGAATAGATTCTCATTTCATAAGAAAAACGAAAAAAGATTCAGTATCTCATGTCAGTGTGGGAGATCAAAATTGGCCACCCTGAAATATATCTCTTCACCTTGATTATTCTCTCTGATGGACATTTGACCTCCCCCAAACTGCCTAAAGAATTTAACATAGAAGACCTGTTCCAGGAAGGAGTTACTATCATATAATGACTGTAATATAATGTAAAATAGATGTTACAATAGGAAAGGCACCAACAAGCCCATCTTATCAAAAATTCTGTCTCTCCCCAGCCACATTCTCTAGGTGGCCCTGCAAAGAGTTGCCAGAAAAACATTTACATTTATAAGGAAAATCTCCATTTGTAAAGGTATCTCCCTCTCTGTATTGGGAAGGTGGGGGGGATGGCCTTATCTGTGAAAACTCTTTTCAGTATGGAAAGAGAAGACTTAAATCTGCATACCCTTGATTACTGTAATTTCTATCTCCCTTCTGTCTCCCTTCTGTCTCCCTCCCCACCCCCAACATCCTCCTTTGTCTTTAGCTGAAGATAGTGTTTAAGATGAGAATTTCTGCCATTGTGTTGAGAAACTCAGTTTCCCTGGTTTCTCCCATGTATACATGTTATTAAACTTGGTATTATTTTCTCCTGCTAACCTGTCTTTTTATTCATTTGGCCAGCTATAAGAACCGTAGGGAAAGGGCAAAGGGGGGGATTCTCCCTCTTCACCGACATTAGAATTCAGACCCATGTGATTATGTGCATGTGACCCTGGTAAGTGTAAATGACAAGGTTCAGACTTATTTATTTTACATTTCTAAAATAAAACTGGTGGCCTTTGAAGGATTTTATGATCCTCTAACTTGTGAATTACCATATCAAATATTTTTCTTATTTATGAATTACAGCTTTGTGGTGGAGAAGCCTCCATCTAACATTTCCCAGAACTAAAGAAAGCTCATCTTTACCTATAATAATCTGCTTGTAGAAAATTCAATCTCTTCTTTTCTTGATGTATAGCATACAGTGTAAGGTAAGCTAAGAGCAAATTCCATGCTGGAATAAGTCCCTATTTTCTCAAATGAAATTATCTTTCTAATGGTATTTTAGATACAGCAGCGTTGTATTTTTGAGTGCATCCTGTTTTATGCACCCTAGAATCAAAACACTAAACACATATACATATTTCTAAATAGTAGAGAGAGAGAGACGGGTTGTTTTAGCCAAATTAAATTCGAGTGCCCTGTTCTAATGGAAGTAAACTTAAGCCAGTTCAGTACTCATTTCTTTAGCTGTAACTTGATACCTAGAGTATTTTCATTTAAATTTTTCAAAATAGACATGCAGAAACTTTCTTGTTAAGTATGAAACTGCCAAACCAGGCTCTGTGAGTTCACACTTTGTAGAGGATGTTAATTGCAAGTGAAAAGTCAAAACAATGCAGTTCAATTAAGCTCTTGCAGAAAACATAGAAATCATGAATCAGGTAGGCCCTGTGAAGAAAGCAGAGACTTTACCACTTCAGGCTTTCTCTTTTCCTTCTTCTTCAAATATCTGAAGCAGGTTCTATAAAAAATATTTCTCATTAAGATATTTCATCTTTTTAAAGTATTAAAGTATTAAAAGGATGAAAGTTCCATGTTTTTAACTGAGCATCGCAAATTATCAAATAGATTTGTGGACACTGGTGATTGACAGCTATTCCATATCCTATAAAATGCTGTGTAGGAGAAAATTATTGTTATGAAGCTACCCTACAATATATTTTTGTCTCTGATGGCATAGTGTGTATCATCTTCTGGTTTCAACCTCCTCATAGTGGCAAGACATATGCTTGCTATTTTTGCATAAAATCAAACAGGACTTTGGAACGTAAACCAAGCTAGTGAGAAGAATGGTCTGACTCAACCCATTGGAATTATAAATTGTTTTGGAGACATTTAGTGCAATGGCTATCATAGAAATTATCTAGAATATTGTCATGGTCCAAAATGCCTTGAAATTTTCAGCATATTCTTGGAAAAATTTTGTGAGTTCCAACTTCAGATTTCATTCATTCTTAGTGGAGGAGTACGTATTCTTACATTTTGAGTTACCATCTTTTCAGGTGTCATTAACTAACAAAAAGTGTATCTTGTATATATAATAAGACATTTTAGGACTCTCATTGGAAACTGAGCAGCTCTCTTATTATTAAAATAAATACATATCTTTCCTTCTGGATATTTTATCAGTTCTTCCATGCTTCACTTATGGGCATATCGAATTTTGTTCTGGCAGGTAATTAGTTTACTTGTGCACCAGCTTGATTTTTTTGAGGCATGTTTTAAGCTTTCTTAAGGCAGGTGTAGAGTAGTGCCAGTTCTAGAGTTGACGTAGCCTCAAGCTTTGGTGTGCAACTAAGTCTTATCCAAATGTCTCATCTGAATGTCCATGGTACTCAGTAAAGTCTCTTCTATCTGGTTGATCAGAATTTGAATGACCGCTAGTACTTTGGGAACTCTGGAATCTCCATTCAGTTCATGGATCCTCTATATGTGTTTTTGGCCTTGCACAGATATAGCTTAGTATTCACTTGAAGACTCATCGGGACACTTCTGTGGATTTCTGGAGCTTCTTCTCTGCATAGCTCCCCCTTGCCTGTTATTTTGCCTCACAAATTCCAGCCACCTACACAGCACCTAACTCTGGACTCTATCTCTTCGCCTCAGCAAGGTTGCTGTGCTCTGTGCTCTACCTCTTTGTGATACAGTCTGGAAAGTGCCTCTTAGCAGAAAATCAGGGCAATAATTGAGCTCACCTCTTGTGTTTCTCCCCTGTCAGCAATCATAACCTATACCGCCTATTGTATAATATCTGAAAACTATTGTTCCACATATTTTGTCAAATTTTATAGTTATTTACAGTGAGAGGGCTAGTCTGGTACTAGGTACTCCATCATGGCTAAAAGTGAAATTACAGTCCCACCAATTTTTATTTTGAACAATTTCAAACCTACATAAAAGCTGAAAGAAGAGCATGCATACCCTTAACTTGGATTCACCAATTATTATCATTGTGCCGCAGTTGCTGTATTTATGTATCTATCTTTCCATTTATCTATCACCTATTATCTCGCTATTATTTGCTGAACCATCTGAATAAAGTGTCAGTATGAAACTTTGTCTTTAAATATTTCAACATGTATCTCCTGAGCACAAGGAAATTATCTTAAATAACCACCATACCAGTGTTACATCCAAGAAATTTAACATTGTTAAAGAAATATCATCTAATAGTGCGTATATTCACATTTCTTCAACTCTTCCTCCAAAGTTCTTTAGAGTTTTGTTTTTAAATCTGGGGTTCATTTAAGAGTCACTTATTGTATTTGATTGTTATATCTCTTTAGTTTCATTTGATCTAAAATAGCCCTCCTTGCCTTTTTTTCTTTTAAAAAATTGACATTTTTAAAGACATCAGGCCATGTATGTCAGATTGTCTTATCATGATTAGATTCAGGTTAAACACTTTTGGCCAGAAAAATCCACAGACAATGTTGTGTACTTTTCACTGCATCATGTTAAGGGCACTTATTAACAGTTCATTTCATTCTAAGTGATGCCAAGTTTGATCACTTGTTTAATGTTGTTTATGCCAGATTTCTCCAATGTAAGATATCTTTTCCCCTTTATAATCAATGTGTAATCTGTGAGCTGATATTTTGAGACCCATAACTGTCCCGTTATCCAATGTCCTTTCGCCCAATGGCTTTAGGAACCATTGATAATCATCGCCTAAATCAATTATTACATTGGGGTTGCAAAATGGTGATTTTTCTAATGCTACCATTCCTTCTACATTTATTATCTGAAATTGTTTCATCATAAAGAGTCTCACATTAATTTTATCTTGGGAACTAACTTTTTCTTTTTTTGGTGAGGAAGATTCACCCTGAACTAACATCTGTTGCCAATCTTCCTCTTTTTTTTTTTTTGCTTGAGGGAGATTGTCCCTGAGCTATCATCTGTGCCAGTCTTCCTCTATTTTGTATGTGGGAAGCCGCCACAGCATGGCTGATGAGTGGGGTAGGTCCACACCTGCGATCTGAACTCGCAAACTCGGTCCACTGAAGCAGAGTGTGTGGAACTTTAGCCACTCGGCCATGGGGCTGGCCTCAGAAAGGGACATTTTTGAAAACTAACTAAACTATAAACTCTGAAAGAAAATCCTTAGTAAGTATTCCATAGTTTTTAGTGTCACTGATACAGCATGACTGACTCCCAGCACTTTAGTGATTTAGGTTGAGATCCCTGATCAGGCATGTTACTTTATAGCAGTGAGATAGAATATTACTTCACCCCAGAAAGTTCCTTCATGTCTCTTCCCAATCAATCCCATTCCTATCCCCCAGGGATACCCTCTGTTCTGGTTTTTCTCACCATAAATTAGTTTTTCCTGTTATAGAGTTTCAAATAAATGGAATCATACAGTATGTAATCTTTTGTGTAAGACATTTCACTAATCAACATGTTTTTAAGATTTATTTACTTAATTGCATGTATCAATAGTTTGTCCCTTATCATTGCTGAGTAGTATTCCTTTGTATATATATTCATCAGTTTTCCTGTTGATCAACACCTTGCCTCTTTCCAATTTTTTGCTATTATGAATAAAGCTTCTGTAAATATTGTGGTAGACAGACTCTAAGGTGTGCTTTCTTTATCCTCACTATCTGATGTTCATGTGCTTATATAATCCCCTCCCCTTGAGTGTAGAAAATACCTGTGAATTGGGCTGGCCCCGTGGCTTAGCGGTTAAGTGCGTGTGCTCCACTGCTGGCGGCCCGGGTTCGGATCCCGGGCGCTCACCGACGCACTGCTTCTCTGGCCATGCTGAGGCCGCGTCCCACATACAGCAACTAGAGGGATGTGCAACTATGACATACAACTATCTACTGGGGCTTTGGGGGGAAAAAAAAATTTAAAAAAAAAAAAAAAAGAAAATACCTGTGAATTGATTCTAACCAGCAGAATATGATGGTATGAGACTCCCATGATTTTAACAAGCCCCTGTCATGCTAGTAATCTCTTTCTAGAGACTCTCCTTCCCTACTCAGCTTGGAGGTAATAAGCAGTCATATTGAGAAGAACACCTAGCAAGGAGATAAAGGCACCCTCGAACAAACTGTAAGCCAGAAGCTGGGGCCCTCAGCTCCACAACCACAAAGAAAATTTTTCCAACAACCTGAGTGAGATTTGAAGTGGATCCTTCCCCAGTTGAGCCTCAAGGTGAAAATGCATCCAAGCTAACACTTTGATTGCAGTCATGCGAAACACTAAGTGGGGAACTCGGTTAAGATGTGCTTGAGTTCCCGACTCACAAAAACTGCTAGATAATAATTATGTGTTGTTTTAAATCACTAAGTTTGTGGTAATTAGTTATGTAGCAACAGATACCTAATACAACCATTCCTGTCAATTTGTGTACATATGTTTTAATTTCTCTTAGGTAAGTGTGTAGGATTGGAATTGGTGATTCTTCATGAAGGTGTATGTTTCATTTTATAAGAAATTCTAGTCCTTTCTCCAAAGGTGTTTTTAACATTTTTACGTTTTCACCAACAATATATGAGACTTCCAAGGATGCTATCCTTGGCAACATTTAGTGCTGTCAATCTTTTTAATTTTAGCAACATTGTTAAGTATATAAATATATTTCATCCCGGTTTTAGTTTGCATTTCCTTGATGAATGGTGTTGAGCACTTATTCATGTACTTATTGCTCCATTTGTGTACCTTCTTTTGTAAAGTGTCTGTCCAAATTATTAACAAACTTTTAATTTGGTTGTTGGTCTTTTTATTATTGACTTGCAGGTATTTTTTAAATGTATCCTGGATACCAGTCTTTTATAATTACTCTGTTTTGCAATTATGTTCTTCCAATCTATTTTGGAATTATGTTCTTCCAGTCTGTGGCTTGTCTATTTATTTTCTTAAATTTATATTTTGATGAGAAATTTTTAATTTTGATAGTGTAATATATCTTTTTTTTGTTCTTTTATGGTATTCACTT